GGCATAAGACATGAGAATCAGCAGGAAAGGAGCCATGACTACCAGCACGGCCACCACAAATATATCCATCTCGTTCAGGTAGGTGTCGGCGCAGGCCAGCCTCAGCAGAGGGGGGATGTTGCAGAAGAAGTGGTGGATCTCCTTGGGCCCACAGAAGGGTAGACTAAATATCAGTTGGGTCTGCCCAAAGGAGACGGGGATGCCGGCGACATAGGACCCGGCCACCAGCAGAACACAGACTCTGTTGCTCATGACGGCGGTGTAACGTAGTGGGTGGGAGATGGCTACGTAGCAGTCATAAGCCATGGCTGCCAGGAGGTAGCACTCTGCTGTGGCGAAGAAGAGATAGAAATACAGCTGAGTGGCACAGCCAGTGAAGGAAATACTCTTCTTCTCCGCAAGCAGATTGGCCAGCATCTTGGGGATGGTGATGGAGGTGTAGCAGATTTCCAGGAAAGACAGGTTCCAGAGGAAGAAATACATGGGGGTGTGGAGGGTCCGGTCCAGTGCTGTGATGAGCATGTTCCCCATCAGAGTGATGGTGAAGGAGGTCAGCACCAGCACAAAGAGCAACACCTGCATCTCCAAGAGGCTGGAGAATCCCAGGAGGATGAAATATGTCACTACAGTGTGGTTTCTGCCTGGCATCTCTGCAAGATCCTTCGCTGGCAGATGCAGGGAAGTTATCTAGATAATAGGGAGAAACGATAGATGTATAATCCACCAAATCCTCTCTCATTCTTTCATAGATTCTAGTCTGACTTCCTGCATATCATAGTCCAGAGAACTTCCTGAAATTATTTCTGTTGCAACAGCAGCAAAAATATTTTTACAAAAACATCCTATCTTCAGGGCCGGCTCTAGGGACCAGCAAACCAAGCACGTGCTTGGGGCAGCACATTTTCAAGGGCAGCATTCTGGCCTTTTTTTTTTTTTTTTTTGCTTCCGGTGGCAAAAGCCTAGAGCCAGCCCTGGCAGCAGCAGCGCGTCGTGTGTGGGGGGCGCCCTGTAGCCGCTGTGGTTCACGCCGCGGGGGAGCAGCGCCCACACCTTGTGGCTGGGCCGGGCAGGCTTTGAGCGGGAGACACTCAGGCTGGGGGACACCCCACGGGGCACACGGAGCCGCCTGCAGGTGCCGCAGGGCAGCTGCCCCCCAGTGCTGCAGCCGGGGCTGGGCGAAGCGGCCCAAGCCGCCCAGGGACTGTGGCAGGGTGGCCAGAAGCAGCAGCAGCAGCGGGGCCATAGAGGGTGGGGCGCTGCCGTGCGGGGCCTGCGTCCCACTCTCCGGGGCTCCGCTGCCTCTGGGGCTATCCTGCCCTGGCTCCTCAGCCACCTGCCGGGGCGGTCCCCCAGCTCTGCCCTCCCGGGTCCCGGCCGGTCCTCGAGGCGGGAGCCCTGGATGGAGGGACCCTGGGCTGAAGCACGGCCCGGGAGCCCCGCTGCTTACCCCGACCCTGCCAGCACCAGACCAACTGGAGGTGAGGGGGGAGCGGGCAGAGTCATCACTGGTGGGGGGAAGCCCAGGGCTGGGGCGGCAGGGAGTGCGGGTGGGGGGGGAGAGAGAGCCCAGGGCTGGGGTGGCAGGGGGTGCGGGTGGGGGGGGGAAGAGAGAGCCCAGGGCTTGGGTGGGGGGCAGCCAAAATTTTTTTTGCTTGGGGCAGCAAAAAACCTAGAGCCGGCCCTGCCTGTCTTGATTTAAATTCTTGCTAGTGATGGAAAATCCACCACAGTCCTTGGTAATTAGTTCCAATCCAAGCCTTATTTCCAGCCTGAACTCGTCTTGCTTGAACTTCCATATCCAAATGTCTGGTTAGATAGAAAACAATTTATCGCCACGGGCTTTCTTCTCGCACCTATTTCCTTTTCCTATTGAAATGTATCCTTGATCAATATTTATCCCCATCAATATGTATCAATCTGCCTACCCAGATGCACACTGTTATGGGTTAAACCTTATTGAAGCTAGTGGCTCTAATAGCCACGTTGCATTCAAGATAAATATATTAAAAAGTTGAGCTCCTTTATGGAATAGACAGCTGAAACAATAGAGGCCTATCCCCAAAACAAAGCCATATGCAAGGCTGGCGTAGGAGTTAGCCAGGCTGCCCAAGGGTTGGGGGTTCCACTGTGATCCAATACTAAAGTGAGGGGTGGGGTATGGGTTGGATTGGAGCAGTGTATCTGTGCATGTGAGACAGAGATTGTGAGAAACATCACAGAAACAAAGACCAAGAAGGCGCAGAAACCTAAGGAGACAGTGGAACAAGAAGTGAGTGCAAAAAAAAAAAAAAAAGAGGGAGAGCGAGCTTTTGGGCACAGTGATGGCTGGAAGGCAGTTTGGAACAGCGAGCAAAGAAACTGTCTCCTGTGTTTTGATTCCTGACTCTAATACTGATTTCTGCTCCAAATCGAGACAACCAAATTTTCATTTACCACTTGGGTCCAAAACGGGTAATAAGAGTACCCATCTCTCTCTTCCCATGGATGCTTGTCTATCTACATGTATGTTTTTCTCTCTATGAGCTTCTCTACACAGCAAGTTAGTGCATGGCAAGCCAGGGTGTGAATATAATGTGCACCAGCTTGCTGCGTGGTAACTCAATAGGTTGACCCTGCTACACGCACTAAATGTTCCATAGTGCGTTTTGACATCCTCTCATTTGCAATGGGAAACTTTCAGTGCACTGTGGCAGGATTCACCAGGCAAGTTACTGCTCGGCATGCCGGTAAGCAGGAGATTCACACCCTGTCTTCACACACTCACTTGCTGTGTAGACAAGCCTTATTTATCTCTCTAGATAGCCGTTTATGGCATATTATCATCCGTCTCTTTCTCAGCTCAGATGAATCAACCGCAATTTAATTTTTGTTGTACCAACAACAGGCTGATGTGAAAAGAGCCATTCTGTTCAGCCAAGTTGGAGTTCTCTAAACATTGATTTATTAAGAGAGCTCTATTCGCCAGGCATTATAGAAAGTGTATTTCTCCCAGTCTTCTTGCCATCTGTCCTGGTTTGTCTGCTCTCCAACTATGGATCATCCCTCTTCCCCCTAGTCCAGGACTGCAGTGAAAGGAAGAGTGACCATAGAGGCAAAGTGAAACCGAAAAGGTGACTGCATCCTGAGGTCAACTGCTCATTTAGAAAATAAAAAAGACAGGAGGGGTATGTAGGACAGTGATTTTCAACCTTTTTTCATTTGCAGACCCCTAAAATATTTCGAATGGAGATGCAGACCTCTTTGGAAATTTCAGATATAGTCTGTGGACCCCCAGGGGTCCGTGGACCACAGGCTGAAAACCACTACTGTATGGTAACAATCTTTCACTGACCTCTTAGACATATTCAGTGGACCCACAGGGATCCAGAGAATACAGATTGAAAACCACTGATTTAGGAGATATAGGTTTGGCAGTATTTAACTTTTTTATGGATAATATCAAAGCTTATTTTCCAACTTTTTTCATTTTTATCTATTACAATTTTTTGCAGTTGTGGGAAATTATTGGGGTGTGTGTCAGGCACTAATTATTTAATGATGCAGGAGCATAGCTGGGGGAGAGCAGGGGGAGCGGCTGCTCCCCCACTGAGCATATTCACCAAAGGTGGCGCCTTGCCGTCGCCGACTCTGGGTGCTCCGGGGTTGGAGGGAGTGCCCACGGGGAAAGCCCAGACAAGCTCCCCGGTCCCCGCCCTGAGCCCCCACCCAGCTCACCTCCAGTCCGCCTCCGCTCCGCCTCCTTCTCCTCCTCCCCTGAGCGCCGCATTCTGCTTCTCCCCTGCCCTGGCTCCCAGCGCTTGCCCTGAGAAATTGATTCGCGGCAAACCTGGAAGGGTGGGAGGGAGGGGAGGAGAGGGAACGCGGCGCGCTGGGGAAGAGGCGGGGCAGGGGCGGGGATTTGGGGAGGGGTCCAATAGAGTCAGGGAGGGGGCATAGTCGGGGCAGGGCAGGGTTGTTCTTCGGCGGCGGGCCCTTGACTCACTCCAGGTCTTCGGCGGCACGTTGGTGGCGGGTCCTGCAGAGCCGCCGATGACCCAGAGCAAGTGAAGGGCCCGCCGCCAAAGACCCGGTAGGGAACCGGCCAGTGAGTACAAGCCCCCTGTCCTTCCCATCCAACCCCCTGTCCCCCCTCAGAACCCGCAACCCATCAACCCCCCCTTGTCCCCTGACCACTCCCTCACGAGACCCCCCAGGACCGCAACCTCTACCCAACCCCCCCTTCCCCATCCCCTGACTGCCCCCCCTAGAACCTCCTCCCCCTCCAACCGCTCCCTGTCCCTTATCCAACCCCTTCTCCCAGACTCAGCCCGGCCCCCTTACCATGCTGCTCAGGGCAGCGTGTATGGATGCCGCACGGCCCACTGGAGCTCGCAGCCCCACCCCCTTACCATGCCGCTCAAAGTGGCAGGAGCTGCAGAGCTGCCCAGGAGCGGTCCAGAGTGCTGGTGGCGTGGCACACTGAGGCTCTGCAAGAGGGGGGAAAGCAGAGGATCCTCCCCAGCCGGGAGCTCAGGTGGGCCGGATGTGGCCCACGGGCCGGTGTAACGACAGAAAAACCTCCCTCTCCCAATTGCCCACACTTTTAACAACCGCTTCTAAACCAGCTTCTAAATTTAACAACCAGTTCAGGTGAACTGGCTCCAGCTCACCACTGGATACAGGTGCCTCCAAATAATTTTTGAGAGGTGTCATTTTCTTCTGGACAAGCTTCTGACACCCCCTCCATGCACTTGAGTATCAAGTTTTCCTTGGCATTTGGAGTGGGGGCTGAAGGAGGGGGAACAATGACCCCTCGGGTTTGTTTCAGCAACACTAATGGGTGTGTGGTGGGGGAGGCAGAGTTGTAGGAGAGAGTTCTTTATTGGGCACGCTGAGGCTGCAGAGTTTGTGGGAGATGCCTGGCCCCCGCTTGCGTCCCTGAGCCCCTGGTGACACAGCAAGCTAGGTCCTCCGGAAACATGGACCTCTTTGGCCCAGGTCAGGGGAGATGCTGCTGTCTTGGGTCTGGACTAGAACAGTTCAGAAGCATTCTGCCATTGCAGGATGTGTGTTATAGGAGCAGTCAGAGACCATAACAAAGATCTGGACCCCCAGTATAGTCATGTGGAAAGAGACTGAGCCTGCAATCTATGTGGGCAAGACAGGCCCAGGTTGGGAGGGGAAACAGAGGCACAGAGAGGGTAAGTGACTTGCCCAAGGCCACTTAATGGGTCAGTGGTGGAGCTCAGATCAGGGCCCAGCTCTCCTGATTCCCAAGTCCAGTGCCCCATCCACTAGACCCATGCCACCTCCCACATATGTATTGGGTTTGATCCCTTCTTGTTCCACTCATTCAGGTCACCTTTATGGAAGGGGGCCCATACGGTCTGAAAAAAACCTTCTGGAGGCTCCAGCTAGATGAGGGCCCATTGTGCTAGTAAGAGACAGTCCCCTCACTCCAAACAGACAGAGGATGGAGTATTATCCCCATTTTACAGACAGGGAACTGAGGCTCAGAGAGATTAAGTGACTCATCCAAGGTCCCCCCAGGGAGTCTGTGGCAGAGGCAGGAACTGAACCTACATCTCCCAAGACCCAGTCTGTTGCCTTATCTAGAAGCCCATCCCCTAAGCTGCAGATGCCCCCTAAAGAATGAGAAATGCTCCAGA